TGGTAAGCGCGTAGCCTTGACTGGAGAACTGTGTTAGCAGATAAATAAGGCTGTTCTCTTCGCCCACGGTTAGGGCGGGCTTCCGTTCTCGCGACTTCACATCAATGCACTGCGTCCGTCTTTTGAATTGTCGGCTGAATGTCGTGAGGGCTACGCTGCCAAACGACGCACCCTTGCGCAAAGAAAAACCTTTGTCTTCCGCGATAAAGGCCTGCTGTAGTCTGCGGTCATGTTTTGTCAACTTCGTCATAGTAGTTGAGCACCCAGGAGCCAGTCTTGTGACTGGATTGCCGGGGCTTGGGAAAAGGCAGTGATGAGATATGAGGTATTGAGTCTGTAAGAAATAGGCGGGCAATTTGTTTTGGGTGCCATGTGGCAATGGTTTGGATTTTTTCTACGATTCCATCTCCATACAGTAATCAAGCTCCGATAAAAGCACCTCTGGTCATTTTCTTTATTCAATGTTCTTTTGATCGAATGCTATCTCAGAGAACGTCCAGGTGTCATGCTTGGACTGGATAGTACGTGTCCGCGCTGTGAGACGGCATGCGAGCGAGGATAGCCGTTGCTACAGAGAACCATATGGCGTAGCTCGAGCGTTGTTGGAGACGCATCTTCACAGTTCCGTATTAGCAGTGGCTGCAGTGAGCGATTTTCGGGCTAGAGATTCGAAGATGGTCTTCGTGCTGTCGGAGCGTGCACCCAAAGTGTCGAAGGCTATAGGGGCGAAGTGCCAATCCATGGCAGGGATCGGGGCGTTGCTTGGCAAGTGCAGGGCATTGCGAAGAGTGCGGCGTATGGCCTGTCTCTTTGCACTATCGGCGGCTTCAGCGGCGGCTGCCGGTCGCTGTGCGGATTGACGGATTAAATTGGTAGCATAAGGGCTGCGTACTGTCACATCATACGCCGTAGGCTTATCAGGGAGCATACCAGGTGGAGGAGGTCCAGGTTGGACGAGTATATCAGCGGGACGATGTTCCGTATTTGGAATGAGGAAAGGGACTTCAAGGGTGCATGCGTAGCCAGCAGCACGAAAAGCAGAGTTGGCAAGTTCGTTGCGAAGCGTATTGTGCCGGTGAGTAATGCCAAATCCTTTTCGACAGTGCGTGGCATGGTCTCCTCGCGAGTACATGACTTCGTTACAGTGCGAACAACGAAGTGGAGTAATGGAATCAGGGTAGACTGGGGCATCAAGATGTCGGCGGAGTATTATGGACCATTGGGATGAGTGTACGCGGGTAGCGAGGGAGGGGTGGGCAATTGGAAATGAAGAGGCGCCAGGTGACAGCAAAGAGTGATATCGAACTCTTCGACGTACCGACATGGTACAGTGGTCAACTGGGTTTGGCTGGGCTGTCCTAGAATCGTGTTCCCAGAAACGCCGCGAAGCTGCAGCATGTATGACCTGAAATAAAAAGTGGTGAGTTCCTTCAGGTCTATTGGCAAGTGCTGTAGGTTCGTATTGTCCCAGGGGATAGTCTTCGGAAGCTGAACGCAACACGGAGTACGCAGGAGGTCGGTCGTTGGGAGATAGGTCGCGCATCAGTGTGCGGAGGTATGGACGGGCCGATCTGAGGTAGTGAGATAGATGGCAGTCGTCTTGGCCTTGTAGACGGTGCGGTGCTGACGTAATGAGGCTTGAGGCATATGAGGCATTTGCAAGCGGATGCATGGCTATGAAGCCATGGCCGCCAAAGCGGAAAGGGAGGCTTGTCTGGGAGGTTACCGATGGAGATAAAGGAACGTTGTTCATTTTTGAATAGTATTGGTGTTGAGTTTCGTCAAATGCTTTCGCGAACGGCATGGAAGAACGTGGCGGTATCAGTCGGAAAAGGTGCTGTACTCGACAAGCAGACGCACACATGCGGTGTAAGTGAAATTTGATGCGGGCATCGGGAACTTCTTGAAGGAGGCTGAGCGTCTCGCTGCAAGATTGTAATTTCGTATCGATAAGGGCGTTGATATAGTCTGGGGTTCCTATTAGTGTACCTAGGATTTCAATTCCTGTCGCCGTGATCTGTCCTCATGGGAGAAGAGAAGACAATGCCTTGATAGTGGTAGCGTCGTTTGACGGCACGTATGCTCGTGTCTTGCTCAAGTTGATGTAATATTGATGGTGGGGTCCGATTGCGTGGAGAAGGCGAATAGCCTTAATTATTTCTTCGAGGGGTCCTGCTAGGGTGATGTCGTCAGCGTAGGCGAGCGTGAGCGGAAGGTGACATTCCTGAACTAGCTTGCGCAGGAGCTCATGTACTGCCAGAGAAAACAGCAACATGCTCGACGGGTCTCCTTGCTGTGCCCCGTCCCGATTGAGAATTATCTGAGGCGGAGAGGCAGGTATGATGAGCGGAGGTGACTGGTTGGCATATATTAAATTGCAGAATCGAGCGAGTGTAGGCTTGCGCTCAGAGAGGGTGTCCAGGAAGCGCTGTCGCAAGCATCTGTTGAACGCATTACTGGCATCAATAGAGACCACTACGAAGTCATTGTGGTAAACATTCTTGCGAGTAATTTCCGTGGTATCGTGAATAATGTCATCGAGGCCAGCACGGATCCCGTTTGCTTTTTGTGTGGGGTGTGGGTAGTCGCGCGTGTCTTCGATGGCTGGAGCGAGCAAGGTTTTCATTACGACGCGACGAAGGACCTGCCCTATTGCAATTGGGCGTACCTTTCCCGGGCGTGGGTTAAGAGGGAGGAGCGTTGCCGCGGCAATGAGCGGTACCGTCTGGTCGGGAATATTGCCAGAAGCGAGGAGCCTTACCAGGATGGTAAGCGCAGAAAGGCCAGTCAAGCCTGCTTGGGGGGTGATGGGGGTTGTCACCAAGAGGTGCAAGATTCGAGGCGTCATCAAATCAGGTCCAGGCGCTGAATGGGGATATAGCGAGCGCACAGATTTTCGCACAGCAGATTATGCGATGTCCGGGGTCGGTGGAAGGTCAGGAGACGGAATCGGCCTCACTGGCGCTGGGGATTTTGGGTGGAGGGCTGAGAGGGCGACGTGCGTGATGGGGTCGTTCGGGTCGGCCAGCGGGGCGTTTGTGAGTGCGTGCATGGCACGACCGTACTGTGCTTCGTAAGCGAGGCGCATTGCACGCCCTAGTCGTTGGGCTGCTTGTGTTCGCTTCGATCTTGGGTTGGGGTGGCGGAGGTGCCAATGGTGACGTGAGTGTTGGGCTGCGAGGGCCTCCCGCCAAAGGGCGGGCCATTCTGATTCAGAGCCCGCCCGTCGAAGGCGTTGAGATAAGGCCCGCATTTGACCGTACTGGGTTCGCCATCCATGTTCTCCGCGAAACGACCTTCTAAGTATTGCCGTGGGGAAGAGGTAGAGTCGCAGGAAGGCGCCATGCATCTCTGTGGGGGGGAGTCGGGTAGACGCTTTGCGGATGAGACGTATAAGAAGCAGCACAGTTGCGTGGAGGCAAGGGCCCGGGACAGAGTAAAAGAGGTCAGACTGACGAAAGGGGGAACGGAGTAGGTCATCCACGGAAGGAAGGGATTCTGTGCCAACGGCGTTAGGGCGAAAGGGCGCAGTAGATGTGGTGTTGGAGGGGGCAGCTGCGGGAGCGAGGATGGGAGCTGTATTCATTGCAGAGGGGGAGGAGGATTGGAAGTAGGGGCCCTAGTCGGTGAGGCAATGGGGTGTGGCATATGAGCGTCGAGCAGAATTTTGTTATCAGAAGGGGCAGGGCAAGGAGATAGGGACGCCCGGTCTCCTTGCTTTGGGTCAAAGTTTCCGCGAGGACGGTGAGGTGGGGGAAGCTCGGCGGAGAAGGAAAGTGGGCGCTTGCGCAGAAGGTTTGGGGGTGATAAAGAAGCAGAAGAGGCTACCGCTGTCTGAGAGGGTGTTGGTTGGCGTATGGCATCAGCGGGCTTGGGGGGAGGACTTACTAAAGAACGTGGCGGCTATAGTTTCGGCGTCACGGCCATGCAAAGGAGCGAAATTCATGGAAAATGTGCACTTATGGACCAGAAAGCTTTAATGATGTTTAAATTTTGCCTATATCCCTCTGTTCCGCAAATGGGTGCACTGTACCATTTTATGGGGCACCCCCTTGTACTCTTGATGTCAAGAGTACAGCACACGCTATACAGTAGGTGTTGACACCTACTGTATAGCGTGTGCTGTATACTGTAAGTTTGCGGCACATGTGCCCGTAGTACACGTGGAACACATGGGACATTAAAACTTGGGCAAAACAGGAAATAAACCAAGAAAGTTCAAAAATATCCCAAGGGGTGAACACTGTGCGGACAACGTTCCAGGCCAATTGAAGGATACCGGCCCCCTTTGTCACACCCCACCAAACCTCTCAGAAGCATATCCCTGCAGCCCTCCCATAACAACTATGAGGGGGCTCTTTTTTATAAGGCAAAAATATTAGACACAGCCCAGAAACGCGTATGCGCGCCCTTCCGACACGGCCAACACGCCCACTTTTCTAGTAGCCACAGTTATTTGGCTTGCACACGCATAAGTCCTCGACCGTCCATCAAGACCGACCCGTGCGCAGCCTTGACACACTCTATCCGCACCTTCCCTGTTTGCATGACGCCCCCATCTCCGCGCAGTGACGGCATCCACCTCAACCCTGGCACACACCACCACAAATCCTGCCTTGCCGTCACTAAAAAGAACCAACAAATCTGAGGCCGGTCCCGATTGACAAGCCGGGGAGGCGCCGGCCGTCGCGCAACGTCGGCTACATGCGCCCCGGCGACAGCCGCGACGAGCCCGCCTCGCGCGATGCTGGGCTCCAAAAAGACCTGTTCCAATTGCCATGGCACTTCATTTCGAAGAGTGTGAGTTTATTCTTGTCCCCCGAAATACCTCGCCTCTCTCGTCCGCGAAACTCGTCTCTAACTGCCTTTTTTTGTTCCTCGCTCGACGATGCTCCGTTTTATTTGCGTTTGCAGAAAAATTAACAGGACGATCCAGTGCGAAACGTGTAAGCTCATACTTGAAGAGCGCTTCACGAGTGATTTGGCTGAGTACCATGCGATTACACAGACTGAGGAAGTTCAATGTGTCGTCTCACCAGACCATCTGCACAACTACTTGGTGGACGTATGTTTTCGTCACGCAGCAATGATCCGCCGCTGTGTTGCTTTATGCCGTTGCCCATGATTTGGAATGCGAATTGACTAACACGAAAGAAACTTTCGATTTTCGTTTCGCTCGCACAGGATATTCCCAATGACCCATATTGTACTCCAGGTTTCATAACAGCTTTCCGAATGTTGTCCCCACTGCGCGAACCCGTTTACGCTGCATCTGCTCGCACGCTTAGCGGTTCGCTTGCGGAAATGGAGAGAATAATCGGCGAAACACTCTTTTCCGGTTACGTGGGATACAACGGCAGGGCGCCAGGTAGCACGACAAAGAAAGAGGAGCTGCAAGAGTCTGCAGAACGGAACAGAACGGGGGGCGACGCGAGGCACACCCTGGTTGCTTACTTCGAGATTGTCGAACTCGCAAGCATTCTTTGCGTGGACAGAGAGACCACAAACTTGGCGATTCGCACGTTCCGTCATACCGCCAACAACACGAGTCTTCGCAATAGAAATGTTGAATCATTAGCAACCGCTGCGTTTGTATCTGCAGCGGAGAGAAGGTGGAATGAGTACCAGGATTGGTCGAAACGGGAGAAAGGGGCCGTTCCAAGTGACAAGGAACCTCACCTTCCTGCGCGTGATGAAGACGCTCCCGCAGCATCGTCTTCAGAATGGCCTACTGTGCCAAGGCATCTCTCAGTCGAAGAGATTTCCACGGCGGCCAATCTGGATGTGGCCGAGGTCGTGCGATACCTGAAAGTAGTCAACATTGCCCTCCGTAAGCAGCGTCCTGAGAATAGTTCTTCAATCGCTGCGCACATGCCAACGTTCTGCAGTCGGTTAGATCTCCCGGAGAGGACTCGGAGACTTGCCATTGGGATTGCGGAGAAAGCCATGGAGAACAACATTTGCTCGCGACGTTATCCACCCTCGCTCTCTGCAGCGGCCATCCGTTTGGCATGTCAGCTGGACGGCGTCCGGAAAACGCAAGTGGAAATATGCCGTGCAACTCCAGTCACAGACGTTACTCTTCGCAAAGTGCACAAGGAGCTTATCCGTGACGAAAGCATGGTGATACCGGAATGGTACACGAATGACAAGCGTCAGCAGACGGAGGCTACGTTTTCTGAGACTGGGCGCCCTTTTGCGAGACCTGCTGCAAAGCGTGCCACTGAACGGGCCTCTTCCTCGCAGGAAGACAGAGAAGAGAGTCCAAGTGATGAGAAGACTGGGCCTGCGGCAGATAGCAGCGACTTGGGTTCTCAACAGGAGGAGCCAAACGTCTCACTTGTTCCGCCGCCCCTTCCCCCTGGATTCGGCAAGGGACAAGGACGTCCGAAAGCGAAGAGAGAAGAAGAGAAGAAAGCAGAACCAGTTGTATCGCAGCCGCAGCCGCCTATGCCCAACAGTAACCCTATGCTTGCAATGCTCAACAATCCTGCTATGCAGGCATTTGCAAATGTATTTGCGATGATGCCGCAGCTCAGTCCTCCTCCACCTCCTGCGCTACCCCCACTTCCGTCGGCGTCAGATTCGAAGGGCCCTCAGGTGCAGGCCAGGGGACCTGGAGATTCAAGTGAAAGAGCTGATGCGAGGGAAGTCACCCCACCACCTGAGAATGGTGTAGGAAAGAAGAACGAGGAGTCTCGTTCATTGGCTGCAACAAAGCCTGAGCAGTCGCAACCTGTGCAATCATCTCAACCTCTACAGGCGAATGGAAATTTGATGGGTGGTGTGCAATCAATGATGAAAATGGTTCAAGCCATGCAAGCAATCCAGGCGATGCAGAAACAGACTGTTGAGCAAGAGGGAGGGGAAGCTACCGAACAACTCAACCCAATTGCAATGATGGCGATGGCAATGGCACAAGCTCAAAATGCCGTGGCGATGGCGTCCAAATCCACGGTGGCTCAAGCGCAACCGAATGCACCACAAGATTCCTCTCAAGCAAAGCCAGCGTTGGATGAACCTGGTCCGGAGGCACAGGGAACGAAGGAACAAAATCAGCTGGAGAACTGAACAGAAACCATTGTTACTTATATTGTATAGGCGCGACGATTGTATCATACGCACATGTAAATTTCAAGTGAAGCGGTCGTTTTCGGGACGGTCTTTGTTATGGTTGTAGCCTGGCATTATATACTGCATGTACAGGAGTCACTTTATCTTTTCGCGAAAATGAAACTCATGAGTTCGCAAACTATTTGCAATTAACGTCGAGATCATCCCAACTGTTTCTCCATCACAGAGGCGTAACTCTCGATAACTTGATTGTTGTATTGCTTGGTCCTGTTGAAAAGATGATAATTCTGTAGTGCAAGCTGTGCATTCCACACCCTCTGAGCACTGTACCTTTATAATTCACATCACCAACGGATGCGAGTGTCCCCATACAGTAGGAAGATCGTCGTACGAACCTGCACTGAACTCCACCTATCGTATCCGGTTCAGCAATTTGCTAATCCGTGTAGGCTCAAGACGTGTCGCCCAACTGGTGCTCCATCCGATCCCAGTGTCGAGGCGCCCCTTAATTTATGATATATCTAAAAAGCAAAAAAATCGATGAAGTCTGTAGGCACGAGCAGGGCACTCCTTTCACACGTAGCTTTTCGCTTCCATCCTTTCTCCTTTTGCAGCGTCGCTTCGGCTCTTAAGCTCACAGCACACTCCGCTCTGTGAGCCGCAAAGAGAAGAGTGACTTGCCGGTCCTCTACTGGTATTTTGAGCATGTCAATCCGAGTGAATGTTACGGGAAGTCGGGCATACGTTCTTGTTTATTTAGCCGCCAGAATTCCGGAGGCTCTACATCGGTGAGTAGTACGCCCTGTAGACGACAAGCTGGCGTTGCGCAAGCTCGAGGGAATCGAATTCCCGCCTTCAAAGAATTTCCATTTCTCACCACAATGGAGGCCACAATGGAGGCCATTACAACAGCGGCACCTCCTTCCAACAATGCTGAGCGGACTGACTTGGGCGTTTTACCCCGTATAGAAGCCGAGGTTCCGAGCTCTCTGACAGACAAGGATCTTTGGGAGGATGTCACTGCGACTTTTCGAGAAGCGAGGGACAAAATGGAGCCTGGAGAAATGATTCATCATCCGTCGTTCAGTTTGCATGCTGCAATGTCAGCTATTGAACTAATGGATCCGAAAATGGACGTTGGATTCGGGGAATCGACAAACGTCTCAGACGTGCGTTTACCAGCAGAGCTATCTGATTCGCAAGTCATCACGATTATGGATCAGCTTCTTGTTTGTCTGATGAGTTGGATGGATGGCCACAACCTTCCTCAGACCGTTTTTTCATGCGTTTATTCTCAACGTATGCGTGAAATACCACGATTCGAATTGTTTGCGTTCATGCATGTGCTTTTTGCTGTAATGGACACCACTATAAATCTTGTCCTTGACGAGAAAGTTGCGGATGAAGAGGACTTCATGGCGTCGACTTACGGCTTCACCTTACAGCCCCTGAGTTCGGACACGAATGAGAATGATGGGTTGGTTCTTCAGAGGATCATGAATGCAGTGGAGGATAATGTTCGCAGTGCCGATATATCCCAACGTGGTCTTGCGGAAGCTATAGCGACACGAGTCCGCTTTCTTGTTGAGTTCTACCGCACAATGCAATGCCTCTCGGGGTTCTCAACTGAACATGCGATATCAGACGCGATCCCTTTGCTTGCTAATCTGAACCAATTGGCAGACGAATGGATATCTTTCACGCAAAAGCACAACGAGGACGCCACCTTGTTGAAAACAATGTTTGACTCGTCTATAAACCGACACCTGATGACATCCTCGCCCCCACGGACGGCTCCTTTGTTCAATTTCGATTCAGCTTCCGTCTACCTCAAACGCCTCTTGCATGAGCTTACCGAGTCTCTACAGCTGGAAAGACTTATGTTGCCAGCGCTGGTGGCTGGAACAAACCCCCAGTATTCATCCCAGAGGCATTCATTGCACGTCGCTCTTCATAGCATTTCGTGCTATTCGGCGAAATTCAATCCCTCCATTCTTGTTAGATCCGTGTTGTCGAGAATTATGCTACCATCGTATTCCTCTGCGCTATTTGGTCGTGATGATGCTGAAATGAAACAACTCTTTTCTACTGATATTGGACTCTCCGGTGACCCTTCATCACACTCCAAATTGACGGCGTTGGCTGCAGTTTCCGAGGGAGTTTCAAATACCTTCAAATGCTTTTGCCACAACATTACCCGACAGAGGCGCTTATTGCTGCGTATCTCACGATGGTGGGATCATTATGTTTGCTTGACTGCGCTGTCCAAGGGAAGGTCTGAAGTTGAATCGGAGGGACAAGAATCTCAGAAGGATGGGGGAAGCAATGGTTCTTTACAAGAGGCCAAGACTGCAGCCGAACATGAACAAAGGAAAAATCTCAAGGCGAGTGGGTATCGAAGCATAGTGGGTAACTTATTTTCGGACATGACCCCAGTTCAGGTCGTTGCTTATGAGGTCACGGCCCGTTTGATGATTCAACATTGGTTGCTTGGCTTCGAGTGTGAGTTATATCAAGACTATGAGTATGGAGCAGTGTTCTTCTACGTTGCCTACGCTTTATCAAGCCTAACCAATGCCACAACGTCACTGGGAGAAAATGGCAAGGAAGGTTTATCACTGCATCCTCCGCGATTTGCACTGTACCAAATGGATGAAGCTCGTCTCTGGATGTGCCGGGCACTACACTCGGCACTATTGGCTATATCTCGCGGAAATAAGTGGGACTATTCTTGTCGTCGACAAGATTCATCCACAGAGGCGGCTCGCGAGATGTTTGGAACTGAAGAACTTTGGTACGAGCAACGGTTTGGGGTCGCAGCCGCACTCGTGAATGGACCCGCACACGCCGATTACTCTTCCTTCATTTCCTTTAAAAAAAGTCATGAGGAATCGCTACGAGCCAATGCTAAAGAAACAGACATTGTTCCGCTTCTACTCAAAGATGCTGCGAAGGGGTTTTTGATGGCGCGCAGAATACTTGAGACGGCCAAGAAGTTTGCCGAGATATGTTCATCCAATTTTGTCCTGGAGGAGATCCTCCAAATAGCACGCGTCGCAGTGGAAAATTCACTCGCCTTGGCTCAACTCATCCGAAACTACATTCCGTACGTAGCTGAACAGGGCAAGCCATTGCAGAGCAAGCAGCATGTTAGTTTTAATTTCACTAGGCATCGTCATTTCCCGGTTATCCAAATCACACCAAGTGAACCGCACCGATGACATACCACTGTTAAAACTGGTGTTTGAAGCGAAAGCGTCAGTTTGAAAAATATTGCGGGTTGCTTTCATCCTCCGCCCATCGCGTTATATAGATACTTGTCAATTCGCCACGAGTTATTTCCCGCGCATGTATCCGCCACCAGAACGATCCCTGGGATTGTAATCGCCCTGTCCATAATTGTTCCGTTGCCTACCCCGCATACCACGACCACCACTCCTCCCTGATCTTTCATTGCTATCATCTTGATGGCTATTAGCCGAGCTATACTTATCATTCATTTGATCTCCTGGTCTTTGGCGTGTCCAAAACTTGGTCGCCTGATCATTCGAAGACGTTGCTAAAATGTGGCCCATGGGATGCCAATCTAAGTCCCATACGGACGACTGGTGGGCGCAAGCGATAGTTGCGACAGGATCTGTCTGACCAACGACCCAGAAATAGATCGCGCCATCATACGCACCTGATACAAAGAAATCATCATGCTGAGGATGCCATTCCATTGAGGTGACTTCACGGTTGTGACCGCGGAATATTTGAAATTCCTTCATCATGCGGATGTCGTAGATCTTAATAAGGTGATCCTGAGAACCAGAAATCAACCAGTTGCCGTTTCGATTCCATTTTACCTTGACTATTGTTTTCTTGTGCCCATGCAAAGTAGTGAGGTTCTGTCCACTTTTCGCATCCCATATTTTAAGGTTTGAATCTTTAGATCCCGACGCAAGAAGCGGGAAAGTTGGGTGCCAGTCGACACACCGTACATCCCAACCATGTCCTTCCAAAACGCGTTCCGACTTGGAGGTCACAAAGTCCCATACCTTGACATTGTTATCATCCGAACATGAGGCAAACTTAGAATCCGTCCTCGAAAACGAGAGATCTCGGATAGTGTCGTCATGGGCGCGGAATGCCTTGAGATTATTCATGTTGGACTGCCAGTACTTGACAATACCCTTCTGGTCGCCGGACAGCATCCAATTTTCGTCATGGCTCCATATGATGCTGCGCAGTTCCGCGTCATGAGCTTGAAGGATAGTTTCAAAGTTGAAAGTCAAGCCCTGCCACAAAGTAAACTCGCCCGTTTTCGCGCCCGTGATGAGTCGCTTCCCCTCCGGTGTCCACTTGCACGCATGTATGGGGCAGCCAGGTTTGTTCATACTGCTATGCACGAACTTGGTGCAGGCGCTGGTGACAGGGTTTTCGCTCATTTGACTGGCAGCTGGCGGGACGAGGTCGACGGTGGACTCCATGTTGGGTTGGATAGCTGGTGTGTCTATGCCGAGGTCACTTTGCCATGCCCTGTTCAGACACCATCGCATTGCAGAGGAGTTGTAATCAACGGTTCGTCTTGCGACGGCTTTGCGCAGCTGCTTTCCGTCGAAGACATCGTTCCTCGGCGGCTTTCCATATGCGCTGTTGGGCCCACTAGGACCAAATGCGCCTTCGAAATTAGACATCTTGCAGACTGGGACAGTCGGGGATTCGTGGCTTTCGCTAGGCTCCTCGCGCTCGCCTCAGAGAAAGAAAATTGGTGAAACACAGGAGGCTCTGCCCCATGAGGAATTGAGACAGAAGTGTAGTCTCCGTGTTTGATACCTCGGTAGCTCACGCTTTTCAAAGGAGCTAGTGCTAGCACTAGTGTAGAGTGTAGAAGGTCCATGGCTGGCATCTGCAGACATGTCTCTCGCCATCGCTCGTGACGACGTGTCATTCGTGTACATGATTTGCCCGCTCCACGCCGCTGTGGGGAAGGACTGCACCATGACGACCGTCGTTCTTCAAAGCGAGTAGAACCAGCTACAGTACAGTACGGGCTACAGTAGAACCAGCCAGAACCAGCCCAGGTTCCCGGATCACATGCAAATACTGTAATGTAAAGTAGTTTTCCTGTGTAATTGGGCTGTTCTGGAATTGTAGCACGTTCAATAATTGGCTGTACTTAGAAAATACGAATGATCTGGGCCGCTGGCGTCCATTTATTCTACACTCGAAGGCCACTCCTGTTTGAGATGTAAATTAAGTGTGAATCGAGCTGCACGCTAATCCCGTGCACATCGATACAACCAGAGCAATAAGAAAGAACTTGTGCTCCTTTTACTCAGCGTGTCGTCGCCAAAACCTTGACCGTCTGGCACTGAAGCAGAACAAGCAGAGAAGCAGTGAATATTTGCTGGGTACCAACCTCTCTCTGCGTGACCTAATTCGCACGCTCTTCCTCAACTCACAAGACGCCGAATCTTAATACCCTTCACCATGCCTCTTCTTTTCATCCCGGGTGGTCTGCTGCCATCTCTGCCCGCAAACTCTCAGGCTTCGCCCCGTTGCTCCTTGTGGATGGCATCAGACCAGAAGGGGTTTGGTAAGCCATCGTCCAAGCCAGCGCGTGTGCCGTCTGCTGGCGAAGGGCGGCGCAAAGCAGCTTCGTTGCGTTACGACAAGATGGCGGAAGCCGGCATGCCTGAATACACAGTGTGGATGCGCCTCAAGGATGTACAGGACGCGCCGCCTGGCGAAGACGGCGAACCGGAGCAGATGCCATGGCTCCCGGTTGGATGCTTGTCCGTGCCGAGGAGTAGCCAGGTCTCGAAGGCTATTTTTGACACGGAGGATGATTTGATGCAAGGAGCCATTAGGCTGTATCCGAACCTGCAAAACCAGGAGAGAGATAATATTGAGTTTGGTTATCAGCTCAGGGAGTTCGATGACGAGGAAGTTAGAGTTGCTCAGAGGGAGGAAGAGACCGGCATTCAGGCCACCCTAAGAAAATGGTTCAGAGCAATGCAAGATCCTATGAATACGAGTCGGTGATTTATTTTTCCTTGCACAACATGCCCCTTGCGCCGTGCGCATACACAGTTACGAAAAAGCCTGGTCAAAAGTTCTTCGACTTTTGACAGGGGGTTAGTACTTGGTTCAGTGCGTAAATGTTATTACAGAGGGCGGCCTCCAAGTTCATTCTTTAATTTCGAAAGTATGAATCCGAAGCCACCACGGCAGGCATACTCCCTGCCCCATGCGACACATGTGGGTTATTATCTCCCGCGCTATCTACTGAGCAGGCGCTCACCACTGTTTGTTGAGGCACAACAACGACTTGCATGTATTCATTCACGTTCTCGTATCGTGAAAAAGCAAGCCCTCGTCCGTCAGCCGTGAACAGGCGTACTAATGGTACTCGTTGTCTTCCAGGAGCAAGGGGAATCAGCTTCGCACATTCTACAGTTGTCAAACTGTTCGATACTTCAAGTCTTCCCCGTCGACGGCCTACAACAAGCCATACCGTTGGATCCGCTTCGATTTCGTATTGAAGAAGCTCCACATCATCAGAGTTTTGTGCTTCATCATACAAGGCATTGCTTGACACGCTAGGGCTTCCTCCTCCCATCATAATTCGCACGGCAAACTGCATTTCCATCTCTTTTCCACACTTGCCTACTTTTTTAACCGACCGCTCCACGCGGTAGCGTTTCTCTGTCCTCCGCATAGCATCCATGCAAATATGACGCTCGATCGTTGTCTCCGAGTCGACCCCTTCAATCATTAAAGCCAGTCTAAGTGTTGCGAATGAAACTGCTTCAGCAAATGCCAATGGATGTGCTGGCGACTGAATAGCTGCACCTTCAGGGGGCGACAGATCTATTGATTCATCCTCCTCCACACCTATTCTGACCATCTGGCCGTCAAAACTGCAGTCTTCATTTTCGGGTACAGTCGTTGAGTTACGATGCTCATGTTCAGAAAACATCGAACCATCAAGCTCAGTTATAGACCTTTCTACAACGTCATCACCAAAATCGCTGTCTATTTCGGGATTCTCGATTAAATCTTTGGCCGTTGATACTTTAGCGTCACCCAGAGCCGTCGCGTCGTGCATTCGCAACTCGGTTTTGACTTTGTTTCCGATGTTCCACTCCCTATCATACTGCTGACTATCCTTCATCTCAGAGCTTGTTACCACAGCTCTGGATAATCTTTTCTGTAGGGCATCATCACTGAAGACAGGAGCAACTGTGCCAGAGGTGTCTCTTGATTCTCTTTCGTCGGGAAGTTCCTCACGAATTTGGACATCAAATGCGAAGGCAAAGACACTACCATGTTGAACTGTGCATGGAAGAAGGCTGACATGAGGCGGCTTTTCGTCCGGTCGCAGCTCTAACCATGGCGGGGGCTCTAGCGTTGCGTTCAAAATGGAAATAGCGCTTTCAGACTTTGTGACATTTCTGAGCGTACAGAGCAATGTCCCGCCATCTCTAAGAGGAGTGCCGTCGAGCCCCAGCGCCCTTGATACTGCTTCACCGCTCCATTCACAATTGAGTTCAATCCGAGCAGAAACACGGACTGGGCAAGTAAATGTTAACCTTTTCTCTGCTCGACATACAAATTTCCTCTTGGCAGTGCTATCTTTCTCCCCGCAATGAACCTGGACACGGAGAATACAGGCTCTAGAATCAGCGTCATTTTCTAGAGATCGATCTTGAAATTCGCTGCAATCCGATACAATCTTTAGAGCAAGCCATGACTCAAGAACCTCTCCCTTCTCGAGGGACTCATGTATGGATGTTTCGCCGTTGTCAAAACGAGGATGAAATTCTTCTGACACCCGTTTTAGTTGCAGAACTGCGAGGTCAGACTCGCCGCTCGGAGCATTGATCGATGTTCCTCTGTCTAAGAACTCCACAAAACCTGAAGAATCAGTCGCTGAACCCTTGCGCGAACTACTCAAAGAACAACGCAGCTTTGATCCTTCTGCCAATCCATGTGGGCCAGCTGTAATCTTAACACGTAGAAACTGAACAGAGCCGGGTGCCAAATGCAATGCGCCTTGTCCTTTAACAGAAACGTACGCAGAAGGTTGCCGAGGTTCAGCATAGAACATGGGGAACTTGACGCCTCCAGTAACAGAATCAGATTGACCGATGGTAAACCCATGACCAGGCATGTTCTTCCCCCCGGTAGCACCTTTTGTGGAGACGACAGGTATCGCTGATCCCTTTCCTGGCGATTCAACGAGCTTCAAATTTCCGATAAACAGAGAAAGCAGAGTTGAGTTGTACCGCCCAAACCTCGGAATTTCGCCTGTCTGAACTGTAATAACATTGACACCGCTTTCAATATACGTGGAGTCGTTGCTACGAAGGACAACGAGGTCATTATCTTCACGGTCTACCCGAAGGTTTTGTTGACCCTCGTAGCCCAATGTAGTATCCCCGCTGTGTTGCGAGGGTATTCTTGCCTTTTCGTCGGAGCGCAAAGCTGGCTTCTTCGTCCAGAGTGGTGCAGACATCGCGCTTCGGCATTCCAGTGCTATTGAATCTAACTTCAGCCTTGCTGGTATATCAGAAGTAATCCTGATAGTGGCACTACCAGGATCCCCCTCTAACCACATAGTCTTGTTTGGTAGAACAGATACATTGAAAAGACGTTCTGCTTTGTATTTCATAATTCGTGGCAAACGTCGTGCAATTGACGTTGTTTCCGAAACCCAATATGCTACATCTTTCGGGTCCCAACCCATCTCTTTAGTAGGCTCGAGAGGTTTGCTCCAGACGTGGCGCTCCGAGCGACTCATGTACAACATTGTCAAGCAACTCACAAGATATTCTTGTATATGATCCAATTCCTTCTCTGCGCGTGCAAGCTCTACCCTTTGCCTTTTGTGCAAGTCATCCCACCCGTTGTCATTGATAAAACGGGTACACTGGGCACTGAGCAGGGACTCGGCTTCACTGTAGCTAGCATTCCGTAATCGTACCACCCCAGCATCTCCGTCCAACGCTGCTGCACCTCTCGCACGACCACCCATCTCATACAAACTGGCGGCGGCATTTGTAATCTCAGAATGAAAGACCTCAGCCTTTTTCGGGTCGGCTAGAGCAGCTCTTAATCTCTCATGAGAAGTAGACTTCGCTTCCTCTGCAATCTTCTCCCTATCGCGTTTACCCTGTGGATCTTCCGGACCCAGGCAGCCCGGAAGGGTGACAGACGCAAGCCCAAGAAACGCTTTGAGTGCGTGGACGTGAAAACCAGCAATTAGACGTGCTGTGTGCCTCTCTCGAGGAGTACTGAGATGCACAGCTGTGGCGTTGTCAGCATCAGATGGGGATGGGATCGCTGGAGCCAGGGCAGCAGCCAGTGCTCTAGCTGTTACGAAGACCCATGTATCACGGAAAACGGCAGAGACTGTCCCGTTTCCACTCAGGGTCTCTTCCGCACACCTCCTCGCTATTGCAGTTACAAACTTCAGGCCTCTTTCTGCGACATCGGCGAACTTTCGGTCCATCAAAAGTAACGACAGTTGCCTCGAAAAGAGGTACGTTCTCAGGTCTATTTCTGATATTGAATTAGCCACCAGACGAGCACGGTAATCCTTTGCCGTGGGGTCTGAAACCCCTGCTGCTGTTTCCGCAGCCGGTTCTCCGCAGAAGCTCCCAGTTCCATATTCGTTCCTCTCAGTCATCGTAACCTGCAGCTCATCGTAGAAGCGGACGGCCAAATCGCGCCTACCAAGCTGCACAAAAATGAACGCCATACCCTCTTTCAGAGCAAAAAACTCTGTGAAAGTCCAAGTTGCTGATGTTCTATTCAAGTAGGAACGAGACACTTCCTCTTCGTAAGCCTGAACACGAGCTTCAGCTCCCTCCCTGACACATTCTCGTAATCGCACAAGCAGATCTTGGTGTGCTGGTGAATGGTGTAGATGCGTTATGGGACGTTGTTCCTCCTGTATTGCAGCTGGGGGTACGACAACAAACCTCTCACGACCCCTTGCCGTGAGGTTTACTTCTGCCCGCAGCTTTTCAAACATCTTTTTCTTCCTCGCTAGGTCCCCTTCAGTTGCAGCCAGAATTACGAGGTACTCGTGATGGTTATCCTTACATTTTTCAACAAATCGTCGTATGCGCTTCCAAGCGGCGTCATTCGATGAACCCAGTTCTCTCAGGGAAGTAACAAATGTATAAACATAAGGGTTTTTATACCAATCAAGAGGATGCTGTTGCGGGTCAGGAAAAATAGGGTTCTCGGCTGTGGAGACGTCAAATACTGCTCTCGCGGAAGTTGAAGAGTCCCGTATCGATGTTCCCCGTGAATTCCAAAGCCACTCCAAACGGCTGAGCGGGATGGAATTAGCAATTCGCAAAGTTGGCCAAACGTTATCTGCATCATTCACCCAGACCGGAAGCCCTTCTAGTAGAGAACGAGACGTCGCTTCAAGTGGCATATTGCCGCTGATATCAGCACCGTGAAGCGGATTGAGATTACTGTCACCTCTGGAAACGCATTTCTCGCTGAAGAAGAGCGCCTGAAACGCTACTGCGGAGATGGAGATTGAAACGGGGACGCAGTGGAGGTAGCATCAGACTTGCTGACCGCAGGAAGTAACCGATTGCGTCGAAGAGGAGAATTCGATACTGTACTGAAATACAGAAATGCATTTCCATGCCAAATTTTGAAGGCAAAACCACACCTCTGCTCGTCACACTACAAACACCTGACAGGCCTTCTGGGCGTGCCCGTGAACGGTAAACGCCGACGTCGACATGGGGCAAGGATGAAGAGTATTCATGCCTCGTAGCAACAAACGCGATGCGAGGAAGGAAGTTTAATCAGCAGTACGACGTGAAGTGCTTAGCTTTTTCACAATTGTACATGTTTGAATAGCTCCCTGCAGAGCAATTCTAAACGAAACTTTCTTTTTACTTCCAAGAGAACGGCATGTGTCATGGGCTTGACGCTAGACACGTTTGCGAAACCACTACTGGGCCTTGTGCGCGAGAATTGTAGGTTTAATCGATAATGAAGCGGTGTGCGCAGAAGCCGAATCTCTCTATTCTTTTCTCTTGTCTCTTAACGAGCTTCGTACTGCACAATTTTCGTCGTGCGAAGCTTCCATAGAATGCGGCTCCCGCAGGAGTTGCATTTCACTTGCGACGTTGGCGTTAGCTCCACAATCTGACCGCATCCCTATGCAATGCAACCAACGCATCGAAGAAGCACACAGAGTCAGCACGGACGGTGTAAACCAAAAATAAATCTCTAGCAGAAGAGATGATTAACATACTCCGCATTTGTACTTCATGGTTCTCTTGAAAGGGGCCGCAAAATGCTTTTAGTTGCAGTCGAGCTGATGTTAACTTCGGTGAAGCGCAGTAGATGTTGGGCAGGGCAGGGCGGGGCGGTGTGAAAACGCTCTTGAAAGTGGTGCAGAAGTGTGTAGCGGTTCCGAGTAGGTAGCCGACGACTTATGACCAAGTCACAGGCAGGGTGCCCAGCTTGAAGGAACCCGATTTCCAGGCCCTTCTGAAATTTGTATTACAGTACTTAGAATAAGGCAATAGCGCTTTCATGGGTAAGGGTGGCAGTAAAAATACCATGCCTTTACTAGGTCGACATTCACTGCACAAAATCGTTTACCCAATCCTCCTCTCACAGCAACTGTCGCCTTATCCGGTCGCATAATCTGGACTGGTTCAGGTATTCTATCGGTTTTGGATATGACATCCTAACCGAATAAGTGCGTTAACGTCAAAAAAATGCTGTCAAGACGAAAAGTTCAACGATCTTTGCAGCATCCTACTCATGTTGGCGACCGCTCCTTGAGTTGAGAGGAGGCGCCGGTAAGCCGCCATCCAAAAGAAACTGGAAGTTGCACAAATGCTCCTTCTCGGTGCATGTCGGATAGAATACACAGGCGAGTAGAATTACTACAATCCTTCTAGATAGAGGAGTTGCTTACCCTTACCGCGTGTTTCAAAGAGACCATGAATACAATTTGAGATGTCCAGTAACCGAGCGTTTTTCTGAAATAGGATAAGGATTGGACATACCAGCGGAGCCTTAACTCTCGACTTTGGAACACGTTCTTATTGTGACGATCATGAATGGAATTGAGGTACTCCAAGGTTCTGTCATCTAATTGCTTGCTGTCTGTGCTGATCTTCGTCAAAATACAGACGTGTCTGACGGCGCTGGCCCAGATATCGGCGTCTCGGCAAGGGGAAACAAATACGCAACAAATGGTTAGACTTTTCCTGCGACTACAGAAAAAGTGCTACCTACTGAACGATGCACCCAGGTGCGTACACGTGATATAGCGAGAGTATTTCAGCGGCACGTTAGTTGTCCGACTTCGCGACTGCAACATAGGAGAACCGCTTTACACAACTCAATGGTCTACGGCATACCAACGCAAGTGAACAATATGCACAAATCGGCCGCAACCCATAGAAGAAGCTGCCTTCACCCGAACAATGGGCTACACGCAACGCGATGCATGCAACAAGTAGACAAAAAACCGTTTCGACTTCCTGAAATAGCGCGGAAAGTTTACGATAGAGTTGGGAATCTAGTCGAAGAGATCGAAATCCATCTCTTCCTCTTCTTCTGACTCTGACTCTTCCTTCTTCTCTTCCTCGGCAGCGGCGGCGTCGCCACCGGCTGCGCCGGCAGCTGGTGCAGCGCCGGAAGCTGGAGCGGCGCCAATGTTGTTGATCAGGTCGTCGATCTTAACGGTCTCGAGAAGCTTGGCAAACATCGACGGCCAGTATGGCTCAACAGTGATGCCGGCGGCTTCAGTGAGGGTCTTAATCTTGTCCTCCTGCAGTGCAAGAAATGTCAGGTCGCAGCGCGCGGCTAAAGGTTAGCTGACTTGCATGAATGGAGAGTGGCGTCGCGCAGCTGTTCGGTGAAACACGCTGGCCGCGTGACGCGGGCGCAAACTTACTGTGATCGCGATACCGTCGTCGTGGAGAACGAGGGCTGCGTAGACGCACGCCATTTCGTTTGTTTCAGCCATCGAGAGAGAGGTGATCGTTGGACGCAAGGCAGGGATGAAAGAAGGGTGTGAACAATGGCGATCAGTATCTTCAGAAGCGCTGCGAGGGTCAGGGCACGGTGGCATTGACTTGAACCGGGTGGCGACGGCAATCGCCGCAGCGGCGGTCGTCGCCCAAAATTACAGCACCGATACCTAGTTGGACTGTAATTCCAGTTCGAGGGAGCATTACAAACGTCCTGACCATTACAGCTGTTCAGTGCGGCTACTATTATACACGTGTACATCGAGTCCCTCTGTACACGTCTCAATGTCGCCAAGAGTTGCGATGCATCCTTGTTTATGCCGGCTTTCGGGCCTAATCGACAGCTATCGCGTCCTACCTTGAAGGTACCCTTGGTACAACTCAAACCCTTTATCACACCTCTTGAGACAGCTCTTTCTCGGTCAGCTCTTGTGCCACACTTTCTCTACACTCAGTCTTCGCGATATTGCTCAGGTTTCAATTCGCAGCAACTTGCCGTGCCTCTTATTATCATGGAACCCGAGCTGCAAGGGCCGCCGAAAGATGACACCTGCGGCGAACCTGATGAGCTAGCTTTACGAATCAAATGGGGTCCCTCCACCTATCCAGTCGAGCTTACTCCCGAAAGTACCATTGCCGATCTCAAGCAATTGCTTTTTCAGCTAACCGATGTCCTACCGATGCGTCAGAAGGTCCTTGGCCTTCCAAAGGTATCAGGTCGCCCCCCAGCTGACGACCTACCGCTGGCGTCCTTATCTCTCCGCCAAGAGCAGAAGCTTCTGCTCATAGGGTCACGAGAGGCTGACATTTCTGGCGTCAACCTAGGGCAACACGAATCCATGTTTGTCGTCAACGACTTGGACGTTGAATACGATGCCGATGACATGAAGACAGACCCAGCCACTCTGCGTATGAAGCCAGCTCACCTCCGTCGCCTGGAGAGAAGGGTTACATCCACAGAGTTCAGAATCATCAATCCGCCTCGTCAGGGCAAGAAGCTTCTCGTTTTGGACCTGGACTATACGCTATTCGATTGCCGCAGTGCTGCAGATAACTTCAATGACTTAGCCAGACCAGGCTTGCATCCTTTCTTGGCATCAGTTTATCGGTTTTACGATATAGTTGTGTGGTCTCAGACCTCTTGGCGCTGGCTGGAGGCCAAGCTGACCGAGCTGTCCATGCTCTCCTCCGAGCATTACAAACTGTCCTTCGTCCTGGACCGTACTTCTATGTTTGAAATTCAATCATGGCGAGGTGACCAGCAAGTCTCGCATGAGGTCAAAGCCTTGGAGATTATTTGGCGTAAGTTTCCCGAGCGCTGGACACCGGCCAACACTGTTCACATTGACGACCTGTCCAAGAATTTTGCTTTGAATCCACAATCCGGTCTAAAAATCTCGGCCTTCAAAAATGCTCCAGTGACGAGACACAATGACCGCGAATTGTTTCAACTAGAGAAATATCTCACACGCATTGCAGAGAGGGAAACGGACTTTACAAAGCTGAAACATAAACAGTGGAAGCGCTATTGCGATTTGTACAATACGAGCACGGCCTCGAAGAACCAATAGAACAACAGCTGAAGGAACAATTAGCCATGCCTCTATTGTCAAAATGATGGGACCCTGGTGCACGAAAAAATCCGATGATGACGAAGCTAGGTCATCCCTGCCTAAGGCAAACCGGTTCTCTTTCGTAGAAAAGACGTTTGAGGCAGGATTAAGCATGGCCGCAATCTGACATCAGGTCAGAGCAGTGGCGTCCTTCCCGGGGCGCTTGTCTGTGTATACTATAATACACCACCGCTCCCTATTCTGAAGCAGAACCAGCTTCATACTCGTCGCTGTCCTCTTCATGGGCAGAGGACTCTGAAAGCTCCTCTCCGCTGTAATCAGACGGTAGCTCCGTGTTTCTTGTCGGATTCGGTTGCACAGCGACTCTGCTGCGCCTCGATCGTCCCCCGTTCTCGATGATGTTGCTGAGCAGTTTTAAAGAAGCATAGCGCACATCGTGTTAAGGGTATGTTCAACGTTGAAGTAGTTAGAAAAGAAAAATCTAGAACTCAAGAATAGTTCATGACATATCACAATGGATGCAAAAAAAAAGATGAAACAAACCTTGTATCAAGCCCAGCAAGCTCTTTTTCTTGTTCAAGTCTCGCCCGATGAACGGCAACTTCTTTCCTCGTCAGTGATGTTGGGTCTGGATCTTCAATTCCCTTCTGCCGTAGATATTCCAACACCGCGGTGCATTTGTCTGGAACAGATTTGCCTCGCATTCGCGCGGGCGGGGCCATAGAGCCGAGTTGCCTGCAAATGCTACGCAGCTTTTCCAGACGTCTTTCAGCAGAGGTGTTTGGGCGCGAGCGCTTCGCTGGCCGAGGAGTTGAAGTCGGTGCAACAACCTTTCTGGAATTCGCGCCAATTGTTTGAATACTGGGTGACTGATTTAGATGGGAAACGGAGCTTCCCTTTTTCGCAGGCCTTGGTCTAGACTCCGCTTTCTCTGACTTCGGATCAAGTTTACTGCCTCCAACACCATTATCGAAAGCTTCGTCGTCATCATGGACAGTTTCATCGATGTTCTCGTCATCTTCATCCTCATCGACGACAGTTCGAGCTCTTCGCTTTCTTTGCATGGGCACAGTCGGTTCCGATTTTTTCATTTGCACGCTGGGATGTTCGTTCTCATCCACAGAATCCTGGGCTGCAGTACCTGCCAGAGCAGCATGGCCACCAGCGGCAGCGGCAGAACTTTTCGTTTTTGTGCCGTGTTTGCCCACATCCCTTTTCACTTGGTTTCCATTCGCGATGCCCTTATCTGAATTCGGCTTTGAGACAGGAGAAGGCTGTTGAGCAGGTTGCGAGATCTCCTGTGCATGTCCGTTTAACACATTCTTCAGTGCGTCACGAATGGAATGCTTCAGGGCCCGCATGTCAGGCCCGGCTCGTTCGCCGATCTCCTTTATTACCCTTTCACGTACTATTTTCCCAGTCGTTTTACTCAGGTCTGCACCATCCAAGATGCGTCGCACAAGAGATTCCATTTCATTTTGTGTGATACCAAGACCTTCCGCTTTAGCAGACATTTCGAGCTCTCAGGTTCACCAAACAAAATGGCTGTTGTCTTCCCGGTTACAAGAATGCGGCAAGAGAGAGACTGGATTTCTGTTCCAACACCGAGATTGAAATAAGCGAGCGACGAAGACAACTGCGTGAGGAGTATGGATGTTCTGCTGTCTTAACAAGCAAACGTCTACCAGGCTTTCAGGGCATGGGAGTGAGCCGCTGTGGCTCAGGTTACTGTACTACGGTGCTCTTGGTACTGCACGCTGGTGCACAGGCAAGGGAAAAGACCCGATCAATTTTCTATTCCCCGCCAAAACATCCCAGCGATGACAGTAATGCACTGTGTACCCAAGGGTATTGGCTGTATAGCACTGTAGAGTGACCTCGACGTAAATACTCCCTATCGTAGACGAGTCCTCCGTTGGCGAACTTCCAGTGTTGAGAATTCCGTACGGCCGACGACATTCTCTACACCCCTCTCTACACCCCCATCGTTTGCATCTTGCGCTCATGTGCGGTGTCCCATTTGCAGCATTTATCCTGTCCCCTCCAATTCGGCTGAAGACGTTTCATGCCTCTTGCCCTCTCAGCCCGTCTCGGCCCAAAAATGCGGCGAGAGTAGGGCCGGTGATGCAGGTGAAAGACCCAAGCTCTGAGGACGAATCGCTGCCCGACAACGACTTGCTCTCACGCCTCAACTCCGTACCAGACGCGACCCGGAAACCCGGCCGCAGTCAACATCTTGTGGATTCGCCAGGACGTATTCGCGAGGTTTATACATACTTTACGGAGCAACTTAGACCTGATATCGAAGGCCTACTCGAAAACCCATTTAATCTGATCAGCCTTGCTTTTATTGCGATACTGTTTGGTTTTTTCGCGGCTACTTCTGCGGCTACTATTATTGGTTCTGTTGCGGACTGGGATCCTCTCGCAGCTGCCGTTCTACTCGTCTGGACGGAAGGCTTCACAAAGTACTATTACGGTCTAAAAGACAAATCCAGGCTTCTGCAGCTTATAAACGCTTTTAAAATCGGCCTGATCTACGGAATGACTGTGGACGCTTTCAAGCTCAGTACGTAAATCATATTGAATTGAATTGGCAAAGAAAGGCGAATTAGTTTCGGCTTCCAGGAGGTATGCAAAGCGGACAAGGCGGCATCACAAGCTCAATGTTTGTGTCACCATCAGAACAAGACGGTATTTCCAGAAGAGCTGAGACGAACCAACTGGCATATGCAGCGGACCTGATACGAGAATGTTGTCTCACTCTCCGACTATCGCAGTCAGCATGCTCCACTGCCCAAATGTTCTTCCACAGATTCTATGCTCGTGTCTCGCTTCGTGCTCACCCCAGTATATGGGCCGCGGGCGCAGCAATCTTGCTCTCGGCCAAGCTAGCTGACCAGCCTCGAAACTTGCGACATATCTCAAATGCAATTTACGATCGTCTTGGAGCATGGGAAGGCACTAAAGACGTAGTAGATATAAACGAAGTACAAAGGCGGCGTCCTCTGGACTTTTTCGGAGTGGATGGTTACGACTGGAAGCATGAGCTGATCGCGATAGAACGGCATATTCTGAAAGAGCTAGGTTTTCGGCTACGAGTTGAACTCCCTCACAAGTTTGTGCTCATTTTTGTGAATACACTTCGGGACAAAGGAGGTGCACCTGCTTGGACGGACCCAAGCGTAAAGCCGTTTCGCGCGTTCTTGCAACACTCATGGAATTACGCGAATGATGTGATGAGGATCCGGCTGTGCATTTGTGAAGAACCTGAGGTAATTGCCGTTGCATGCATAGCTCTCGGTGCCCAAAAGAGCAACATTCAGTTGCCAGAGGGTTGGCAAATAGTGTTTGGAAGTAATAAGGATGAATGCGCGAGGCTGGAGAAGGAAATATTGCATTCATACGCGATGCCGTCGTCGAAGGGCTTGCTGCTCGACTTCTCAATGACACCTGCTTTCGAAAGATTTCACCCAAAGAAGCCTACTCAGAGCACGAAACGAGCGAGATCTTTTAGTGATACAGTTTTAACAGGCCAGGGAGAAATCGCTCGGAAGAAACGTAGCCGTTTTGGTTAAGCTAAGTGCAGAGGGGCCTATGTGTCTTTGTATTGTTGTAGACGTCACTAAAGAAACATCGCTTTCAATTTTCTACTGTGGCGGCACGGTATGGAACGAGAAGGGCATCTAGAGTTTTATACAGAATGAAAAACGCTTTTGTCTCGCGGTGACTGGTGAAGTGGGCTACCCGAATGAATACAAGAGAAAGCTCTTCAACACAAGTGCTGTGGAAAGAATGCGGCCGAAATCTGATTTTGTTAAAAGAGACAGACAACCCAGATAGCAGATAAAGTAGGGGCGAGCGTGCACAGTATGCTGCACTGCAGATGTCACAAGTAAAAAAAAAGTCGCGAATCGCAGTGTCAGAGATGACATAACTCGAGGAGGCGCAAAGGCGGGAAAGGTCGGAAACGGCTCAAAATTACGCGGGAACCCTTATGCTCGCGCGGAGACCAGCGCTTACCAACCTTCACCTCCGTCATTTTTTATTCAAAAAAAAACATTCTTCCCCAGTCCAATGCCATCGGGGACCCCTCCGACCCAAACTGTCTCCCGGCGATGTGACTTTTCAGGTCCACCTCTACGCGCCAATTGCCAAGTCATCGCGACATCACGTCACCACTCTGCTTGCCCACTTGCTCACGAAACCCCTCAAGTCATCCCGGCCGGCCCGGGAACAGGGAAGGGGCCCACCACCATCTCGCCTACCCAATCCGTCTCAAACCGTGCATGCTGGCATCGACGTACAAGCCTCGCGCGTCCCGCGCAACATGCCGCCGCGAACCCCACGCACCCCGCGCACCCCCCGTACCCCACGCCAACCAGGGTCCGTCGGCGGACCTCGCAATCGACGCGTCACAAGAAAGTCGGTCGCCCCCTCCAGAAGAGTATCCGTTTCCACTCAGAGCCCAACGCGTGCTCCCCCATCGCTCACCAAAGCTGGCTCCGCGCGCGCGGCGAGAGCCGCCAATCCACGGCCGCATAGATTCAGACCGGGCACAAGAGCCATCATGGAGATCAGGAAATACCAGAGATCCACTAACCTGCTGCTCAGACGGTTGCCCTTCGCTCGCCTCGTTAAGGAGGTGACAACCACTTTTCATCACTCGCTAAGGTACGTCGATTAGCTAACTGCTTAACCGCTCCTCTGCACCAGGCAACCCCGAATGCTAACTTCTTATTATCTCGTGTCGCACTGCTATGTGTGTTATGACGTTTCGTAGATGGCGAGTCGATGCTCTCGAAGCATTGCAAGAAGCAAGCGAGGATTTTTTGGTTGGGGTGATGGAGGACGCCAATCTCTGCGCCATGCATGGGAAGAGAATCACTATCATGCCCAAAGACATCCACCTTGCTCGTCGTATACGCGGACTGCGAAATGACCCTTCAAGTAACATGTGATTCCCATTTAAGCTCACCGGCGGATTCTTTCCGCATCCAGCTCTGTGTCAAAGTGTAAAAATAAGTTTCGTGCACAGGTGCAATCGCAAGAAGTCTCAGATGTCATTGGCAGCGAAATGTGGACACATTCCCAAAACCGCTCACCAGCTCCCTTCTCCACATTTAGCGGCTCAAGCATTGCAGCAATTCACGCAATACGACCCCTTGTGGTCTCATCAAACCAACCTTGCGGAAGTGGGCTCAGTCGAATTGTGGCTGTCTTTTCCCTGTCATGAGAGCAAGCTCCTGTTCGGATCACGAAGCTCTGCTTCACCCGAGAAGCATGCATCCGATGAAGGATTCCCGTTGTGGTGGCAATGTGCTGTCTTTTAGCATTTCTTCTCAACCTATCCCAACCCATCTCAACGCTTCACTCATGTCGATGTGCTCATAATTCGTGCGCAGAAGTTGCAGATGCAGGCAGAGCTCACCCGAAATATCACGCACTGTTACTGTAGAAATCCCACCCGCTCACGGGCGGACCGCGAGGCTACCTAAGAATTACAGAGACCTCTGCTCGTGACGCAGACGCTCCCAGTACAGGAGTAACTTCCGCAGCCGGTGGCGGCTCTTGTCTCATCCTCCTACGTCGGCGCCCCATTTTTCGGTAATCGTACTTCTTTGTCCCAGCAAGGAGAGCAGCCGTCAATCCTACATTGCGTTGAGGCAAAACCTTGCTCCCGATCGCATGCCCGGGAGGTGCGCGGAAAGAGCTCGTGGGTACAACAGTGAGCGGTGCGCTGGCAGAGTGTCAGAGCGGTGCGCTGGCAGTGTCAGAGGCATCAAGAAGGTGCATTGGTGCAAAGAGTGCTCTCGGCGAATGAGGGGCTCCAGGGGCTCCTTTAAGACAGCATGGATTATGGCGCACGCTGTACCGGTGGGTGCAAAATACTTCATCTGGGAGCCCCAGGGGGCAACCCAAATAATGACTTTTTTCGCCGGATCTGCAGATTTTGGACTTTGTCATAGCCAAAGCCAGCGACCCCGGCTACGCATCGTCTCGAGCACCGTTGGCGTAAGACTCTAATTGCATCCGAGCACAAACCTCCGACTCCTTAATACACACAGTCTTCAGTTAGTATCCCCAACGACTTGTACGCAGTTGTGCGCTCAGCCTTCCGAATCAAAGAAATTTTCGCCTTTTGCCAAATCTCAACCCTGTCAAAAATGATATTCACATCCAAGCGGCCAGCCTTCGCAGCGTCAGTCGCCGTCGTCCCTTCCTCCCAGTCGTCATGGGCTAGTAAGCAGACCTGTTCACATGCGCAGGTACAACATGCCCGCCGCCCATCCTCAGTGCGGCTTTTTACGCCGAAGATGATCCTGATGGACAATACGGAGACAATCACAGGAGTTGTCAAATTACCAGACCGTACCCCTACTAAACATGATATCGCCACCGGTCGCGACCCAGACCGCGTCAAAATATTTGACACCACGCTCAGGGACGGTGAGCAAAGCCCTGGGGCCTCGCTGACTGCTGATGAGAAAATGGTCATCGCCCGACAGCTTGCCAAGCTCGGAGTTGACGTCATAGAAGCTGGATTTCCGATCGCCTCGGAGGGTGATTTTACAGCTGTTCGTGAAATTGCTAAGAGCGTTGGGAACAGAGATAATCCCCCTATCATTTGCGGCCTTGCTCGAGCTCTTGAAAAGGATATTTCAAGATGCTATGAGGCCGTCAAGCACGCCGCTTTTCCCAGGATTCATACTTTTATTGCAACGTCTGATCTTCATATGGCGTACAAGCTGAAGAAAACCCGCGAAGAAGTGGTTGAGATTACTAAGGAAACCGTCACGTATGCGAGGAGCCTTTGCGAAGACGTGGAATTTTCCGCAGAGGATGCTATTCGCTCAGACCCGGATTTCCTCTGCGAAGTGTTTTCTGCTGCCATCGAAGCAGGGGCTACAACTATCAATGTTCCTGATACCGTTGGCTACACAACTCCATCAGAGTTTGCTTCCCTCATTCGGTACCTGCGCAGAAACGTTCGTGGGATAGACGACGTAACCATATCTGTACATGGCCATGATGACCTAGGTATGGCAGTCGCCAACTTTCTCTCTGCCGTGGAGAATGGGGCTCGTCAAATGGAATGCACGATTAATGGTATTGGTGAGCGAGCTGGCAACGCTTCGCTTGAGGAAGTCGTTATGGCTCTTCACGTGCGACGCCAGTTCTACAACGCTCGCATGGGAAAGGACAACAAAGTTGACGCACCTCTCACAAATATTGTTCATAAAGAAATACATCACACATCGAGAATGGTTTCAAACCTCACGGGGATGCTCGTGCAACCGAACAAAGCTATAGTAGGTGCCAACGCATTTGCCCATGAGAGTGGTATTCATCAGGACGGTGTTCTCAAGCATCGCCAAACTTATGAAATCATGGATGCGCAATCTATTGGTCTTTCAGAAAACTCCATTGTTCTTGGGAAGCATTCAGGGCGCCACGCGTTCCGGACTCGGCTCGTGAATATGGGATATGAGGTGACCGATGAAGAGCTTGAGAGGGCTTTCAGAAGATTCAAGGAGCTAGCGGACATAAAGAAGGAAGTTTCTGAGGCAGATCTTCAGTCACTTGTCAACGACGAAGTTCGACTGGTGAAGGAAGCTGTTAAGCTTACTCGAATCCAAATCCAATGCGGCTATCACATCATCCCGACGGCAACGATAGGTCTGATCCTTGTTGACGACGATGCGGAGAAGACCGTGACGTCTACTGGGACAGGCCCTGTAGATTCAGCCTACAACGCGATCAATCAAGTAATTGAGGACATAATCCATGTCACTCTCCTGGAATATAAGGTGAGCTCAGTTTCCAAGGGCATCGACGCTCTGGGGGAGGTTGCAGTACGAGTTCAGGATGGGGCAACTGGAAATCAGTATATCGGTGCTGCCGCTAATACCGATATTGTTGTTGCTTCTGTTCAAGCATATGTGAATGCGATCAACAGATGTCAACTGAACAACAAGAAACCTAAGATTCATCCCCAATACGGGAATGCCAATAGTGTCTAGAATGTAGAAGAGACATTGCGATACAAAGCTTCTCTGGAGATGTACCTCGATTTCTGGATTACTGCTTTGTTTAATCGCCACTTCAGGTCAGAGCCGAACATTCTTGCAGTCTACTGGATGAATTGCCTGCGAAGCACAGCTACAGGGTCTCTGTAGTTTCCCTCCATGCCCGAGTTCGTAATAAAGTATTTTCACCCTGATCTCGTTAGCAATGAACAACATCTTCTTCGGTTGCATCCCGGAGACACTGTGCGTCACAAGCGCGTAAGATCCATGTGTCTGCACCCAGGTTCTACAATAGACTACTATCCATTCCTCTAGCTAGAGATAGGTAGAAATTCCTTCCTTCTGTACTGTACTCAAGACAATTTTAATTGCGCTTGCATTTCTATGAGAGCTGTGTCTTGAACATGGGAAGATACTGAGACAACACAATCTGGTCTACTTACTTCGGACTTAAGGCGAATGACAGGGCGTAACAAGTCCTATGACACAGAAAACGAGAGAGCTTCGTTTGACCTCTGTTATGTTGATTCTGCAGATCAAGCCAACTTTCGTCCTTTAACAGTACGTCCTTGTAGACCAATAGAATATATAAGCATCCGCTATCGAGGGAGTCTCTTCTAAAGTTAGAGACTTTAGAGTGTCTATCGGACCATTGCTCTCATACTGTACGAGGACAGTTTTCGGCATATTTTTTCTTGACTTGCACTTTCTCGATAAGAAAGAAAAAGATATCCCCGCCACCGTACTTGACTTATGCCATGGGACCCGAAAGAACTTTTTAAGAATTGCAAGTTCTTCCTGGTCGTTTTAGACATGTCTGGAAAAGGAGCTTTTTTTAAATAACTTCACCAAAACATCAGTTTAAAAAGGGAACTAGGTCCTCAAACTGCACGATATTCTTAATCTTTCGGCGTGTTCACTGATGAATCGTAATCCTCATGGTTCTGTCTTTACTCGTCGTCGCCGTCTCGTGGGTCTAAGTACCGCGTGTGACAGACTGTAATGCGGACAGTCTGTCCTTGCGGTCCGTGACGCGTGCACCCTTCAGCGTCTGATGAAGAGAGTTGCGGTCCGTCAGTCCCGGGGGACGCTGAGGGGTGCACGCGGAGGTGGAGCTGGGGTGTGCTCTTGGATCCGGGCTGCGGGTGCCGTTTGGTTGGATGATTTGGCACAGCTCCTTGAACCGAATGGGGCCGCTTTGGTGAATAGGTCGGCGGGGTTGTGCACTGTGGGGATGTGCTCTGCTGCTATGTTCGCGCTCTGAATGTGGTGCTGGAGGTGGTGGTGCCTCACATCGATGAGTTTGCGTCGACGTGTGGGCGCCGAGTTTTCGGCTCTCTGGATCGTTGATTTGCTGTCTATGAAAATAGTGGTTGGGTGTTTTTGGGGGTGCTGCATGTCCTGGAGCAGCCGGCGGAGCCATAGTGTTTGATGAGCTGCGCGTGAGGCTGCTATATATTCAGCTTCACATGTGGATAGGGCCACGACGTCTTGCGGAGAGGAGGTCTATGCTATCGGTGAGTGACCGATTGTGTGGATACTTCTTGTGAGTGACTTGCGACTTTTCGCGTTGGAGTAGTCGTCGTCGCTGTATGTTCGGAGGCAGACGGGCGATCTGGCGTGGTACGATATGGTTTGGTCTTTGGTGCCCTTGAAGTACCGTAGTAACCATTTTAGCTGATGCCAGTTGGCTTGGGTCGGTTGCTCGCTGTGTCGTGTTAGTTGGTTTGTGCTATGATATGCGTCATATCGAGTGCTGTCGACGACATATCTCAGATCTCCGAGGATGGAGCGATAGTGGCTGGCTAGAGTGGGGGAAACGGCTGCCGTCTCGTTCAGTGTCGCTTTGTTTGGTTTTTGCGGTGCGGGTGCGGTTTTGGGGTTGCATTCGGCCATGTTGTGCTTCTGGAGTATAGTGTCGATGGCCTGTTGCTGTAATACGTGTATGCTGCCTTGTGCATCTTGTGTGATCTGCCAGCCGAGATACGTGGTTGGAAACCCGAGGTTTTTGATGGTGTACTTCTTTTGCAACGTGGCCAGGAGGTCGTCGATTAGGTGTTGGTGCGACGCGATGACTAGAAAATCGTCCATGCTGACGGTGACGAGCAGCGTGCTGTTAGCCTTGACGCTGGTGAACAGGCAGGGGTCTCATTGGAGGTAGCCGTGCGATTTTAGGTATTTTTGCAGTCCGGATGTGTAGCGATGTCCTGCTGAACGGCCTCCGTAGAGGTTGCCGAGAAGCTTTCCCGCTTGGTGTGCATGTTTCATTGAGCCGTGAAATCGTGGGTGCTGCCGGACGTAGACGCGGAATGTTTGGTCGTGGGACTCATGGAGGTATGCTGCGGCGATGTCCATGTATTGTACGGGCCATTGGTTTGTTGCTGCGATTGCGAGTAAGGTGCGTACTGATGTCTTTTCGGCCATGAATGTGGATGTTTTCTTTGGGTCGAAGTGCTATCCTGCCTTCATGGTCGCCTCGTATGGAGCAACGGGCTTTGCGTTTGGCGATTTTGCCTTCGGGTGTGCGCTTGTACCGGTATGTCATTGTTAATGGGATGAGCGTCTCATCGGGCGGCACTTTTGTCGCTGGGATCCATTTGATAGTGCGCTGTTTGTCTAGAGTGTCTAACTCGTCGTTGTGTGCTGCTGCCCATTTGTAGTGCAATGCACTGTGCACTGTTGCCACGTGTCCAATATTTTGGCACATTTTATTTGTGCGCTCTGTTGAGCGATAATAGATCTATTTAATTAACGTAGAAATAGTTAGATCCGTTTAGATCGGCTCAGTGAGCAATAGGCTCACCGGCCGTCCCCGGGGGACTGTACAGTATTCAGTTAGAGAGTCCATCCTTCCCCTTGGGAATTGTAAAGTAACCGGGCTTGGACTTGAGAGTAGATTTTTTGGTTGAGACCGTCTCTAAGTTAAGACCCTCCCTCTTCTATTTGCTCATCGCTCCACGGCCATCTCGGTGCCCCTTTTCCCTTTTTGTTGGTTCCGTTAGCGGTTCTGTGCGCAGGCCCTAGCGTTGACGCTTGCCATCGGGCAGTGTGTTGGTTTACGTCGCTGACGTATCTATCCATCGCTGGATCGGACTGCGCCTAGTCGCGACTACGCAGTGCCGTCGACGGTCATCGGGCCGCCGATCGTGTAGCAAGGACAGCTACTTCTACTAATTGGTATTTACACAAGACTTGGTGTCCCTGCCAAGCACCGCATAAGGCGTCGAGTTGCCTCCGCCTTCGAAGGTTTAGCCCCGCTGCTATAGCCTCCAGAGACCGCCTTAAGGCATTCGGCCTTACAACCCGAGCGTCGTCGCTAACCGGTATATCGGTATATCGACTCCGCACCTCAAGGCAACCGTCTCTACAAGACTCTACCACTACCATCCCTTGAGGGTTGCTCTCCGTTCACCTCAAGAGGCTGAGCTACTGGAGCTCGCAAGGCTCCACAAGGGGAAAGGAGGACCCGAACACCTCGTGGTGTGTTTTCTACTGTACTGGTTTCGTTTTGCTCTTTGCTCCCCTTTTGGGATCTCGTACAGGAGAGGCGCATTGCACCACACCATTGTTGGGCGTCAGGGTATTGGCGCGCTGCGTGTACGTGCCGGGGTGCAGTTGTGGTGGTGTCGACTGTGCTGGGCGGTGGGTTGTGTCGTGGTGGTGTGCGCGTTCTCTGCGGCGTTTTGTGCCGAGAGGGTGTGACTTTGAATGCTTTGTTGGACGTGTGTTTGGGGTCCTGGTGCCTGGCATATGGTCTGAAGTCGATCGCCCTGATGATGCGGTATCGGGGGTTGCGTATGGTGAGGGTCATGAAGTGGGTTTCCGATATGGGATACATATATCTTGCGGGTTCGCTGCGCCCTTGTAGTTTCGTTTTGTGTGCGTGTATGGGGGCGGTGCCGATTTGCCCGAATGCGAAGATGCGGGTCACGTGGGCTTGGCGTCCGTTCCAGAGTGTCCATGGACTTTTTGTGTGGCGCTGTGCCGCCTGATGTTGTATTTGAAGGCTACATCTCGTACGGCATCTTCCCAAAATTGTGGTGGGAGGGCTGCGTGGTGTAATGCGGCGTGCGCATTTGTGAAGAGCGTCTTATTGATCCGCTCTGCTATTGAGTTCTCTTGCGGTTGATGGGGCGTGTTTGTGATGTGCTGTATGCCGTGCGCACTGTACGTGGCCTTGGCATGTGACGATGCAAATTCCTTCGCGTTGTCCGTTCTGTATGCGAGAGGGAGTTTGTTTTGGGTGGCAAGTGTTTTGAATAGTTGTGGAATTATTGTGTTGACTTCCTGTCGGCGTCGTAGGTAGTATGTGACGAGATACCGGCTCGCTGTGTCGATGCATGTGAAGATGTATACGTTACCATGGGTCGAGGGTGGGGAGATTGGGCCGCAGGTGTCCGAGCTGAGCTGTTCTGCTATCTGCTGAGAGTGGTGTGCGAGCTGGTGTGGCTGGGGTTGTTGCCTAGCGTGGGCACACGAGGAGCAACTGATGG